GGTTTGTAAAGGGTATTTTACAGTCGAACTAGCTTACTTTAAATTACTTTGGACCGCCCCTCGCCGATCGCACGCTTGATATTCAATGACAAACGCAAACAATGCGACTGTGACCCGTCTGCCCCACCAGCATCTGAGGCAGCCACCTGCAGCGCATCATTTGCAAGCGACTCGCAATAGACCCAAGATCATCTGCGGATCAGACAAACATAAAAAAAAAAAAAACAAATAAAGCCGGATAACGCCATTAGCATTTAGCACGTTAATCCAACTGCGGCAATGACAAACAACGAGCGTAAATATTTTTGCTTTTTTTTTCGCCAGATACTTATTAATTAATGGTAAACAAAAGTGCGGAGCGTACTGAAGCAAATAAATATAAGTTGAGCGAAAAAAAATTAATATTTGATGCGTAATTAGTTATAATAAAAAGATTTCTCAAGTCAGCGAACTCGAGTGTGGGTCTTGCGGATGAGATCATTGGCAAAGCGCATTTGAAGCAAATCTGAGCGTAAATTAAACTTACAATCTATAAGTAAGAAACTATGTAAATATTCTTGAATTTTGATCACCATTTTATTGAGCTGCCTTTAAATGCTAAAAATAAACTTAACGTATGCGCAAAGTTGAATAAATTTAATCAAATTACCAGACAAGTAATGCAAATGAAGGTCAGATGTTTTTGTGTTATTTTAAACTTAAATTTTAAAAAGAAATAATGTCAAGGAATTCTGAAAATTTGTCTTATATGCAGCCGATCTATCCTAAACTAAGGTATGTGGGGCTCTGTGCATAATATTGTATCGATATGATGATGATTCAAAAGAATTCCGCTTGAAAATTGAGCGAAGTGAGGAATGTGGAAAAATCGCGAATAACTTTTGCTGAAACTTTGTTTGCCATCGAATCGGCCTCAGACTCATTTTCAAAGATCTTTGTTAAAATTCAGTTCATTTTTCAGAAATTTCACCGCTCTTGAATGGAAAATGCGGGTCAAAGGTTTAATGAACGAAAGCTTACTTTGCGGTTTCAAGCTTAACATGGTAGTAAATAGTTAATTCCAGCTTTGGTTTTTTATTCAAGGAGTTCAAGATAGTACGGACTGAACTGGGGAAACTGAATGAAATGACTTGATACATAATTTATACTAATCTGTCTTTAATTCTGCCTTTCAATTTTCTTGGCTTATTTGGTTTGACCTTGTTGCAGATACATTAAGGGAATTATATATCTTCAACAAGTTCAAATTAAGTAAGTAAGGATAATCCATGAGACAACTGTATTTAGCACGAAAATCCTGCAATAATAATTTGAACAAAAATGCCAGCAAATAATTTATCTTTAGCATAAGCCCAAATCATTAGCTTAGCCAATGGCTGAGTATTGGGCGTTTTTCATAGTCGATCAAGTTCACAAACTTGAGCAAATAATGAAAAATAAAAAAAAAAACAGAACCAACAATATATTGTGGCAACACAAGAACTAGGCTAAAAAAATAACACCAATAGATACAAAGCAGTAGATAGACAAATGTACAATAACAATTTATGTAAGTCGCGTTGTTGCGGTCAAAAACTTGGCGCAAACATTTAGTGCCAGGCGCGTATCTGTCGGATACATATGCCGCATGCCAAACTGACGAGATGGCGAGTGTGCAGATACTTTTAGCACATACTACAATAACAACTGGCAAAGCAGCACCAAAAACAACAACAACCAAATAAGTAATAATACAAAAAAAAAAAAAAAGTAAAAAGATCTCGTCTGCCCGCGCGTCCAGAGAAAGAGAGACGTCGCTTAGAAGCTGCGGCTGCTGTAGGCATGAGTATGAGATACTCGTCGTATCTGTATCTGCAGCTTGGACGCCACAAACTGGCTGCCTGCCTGCCTGACAGCCTGCTGGTTTGGCTGGCTTCGGTTGGGTTTGGCCTGTTCTGAGAGGTTGGTTAACCAAATTCATTTTGAAGCTGCCTCAAAATATTTTTCGTGCATTCAGCTTGCCGAGGGATTCTTTTTTATATATATATGTGTGTTTTGGTTGAGCTTGAGAAAATAAAAATTGATTCTGGAACCAGTTTTGGCTTGGAATTGTTGAGTTTTTTTGTTGTGCCCAAGTGTGTGTGTGTGTGTGTGTGTGTATTGCCTTTTGTACTTGTTTGGCTCTTTGGCTCTGCTCTTTTTAGACGTTTCTCGTCTCCTCTTTGGCTGTCTTTAAAACGCAGCTTGTTGGGATCGCGTTTGGCTTTTGCCTCGTCTCTTATTTTGTTTTTTTTTAGTGTCATCCATAAAAAACATATATATTTTATTTTTTTTTCTGTTCAGCGCTTTCGTTTTCGTTTGTTTTGGGGCGTTATAGCCGACGAAATGGTCCAGCCATTTAATTAAATAGATATTTTGCATAATTTATGCATATTTCAGACGCACAACAAAATAACCAAAATTCGAAAGTTCCCCGCATCAAAAGGCGTTTATCATAGGCGAGACGTACAAATTTCTAAGTATCATTGATCAGTCGAGCTTAGCTTTAAGTCTATTTATAAAATAGTTTCCCATACGGTTTTTTTTTTTACTCAGAAGTAACGCCGTCTCAAGGTCTTGAGAATTTGAAAAATTAATTGCTAATAACCGTAAACATTTGTATAGATAAATTACGAACTAAAGCTAAGTGAGGAAAAGATACTTCTAGAAAGTTGCTAACAATGCAGCAGAGAGACAAAAACAAAAAATTAACAAACTTTTGTGGAAATTGAATGTGGCTGTAATATTTATAGACCCGGCATCCATTTAATGTGGGAGTTATGCCTAGAGCCGCATATTGTTTCGCGCTTTCATGCGATTGTTCAGATTTTCGCATGCCACTCAAAATGAATTACATGCAATGCAAAATTGTACAGAATAAATATGGGAATTTTATGGGTCTTGGCATCTACAGTTATAATTGTAAAAATTGGCAAATTTATATATATTTAAATCTTCGTACTTCACTCGAAGATCATTCGAAAACACTTGCGACTGGCATGAAAACTAATTAGTATTTAGACTATAAATCAAGACACGTTTTCTCAATGTGCAGTTAAAAGATAAATATGCATATTCTACAGATACGTATTCTATCGATAACTGTAGTCACTAGAGAGTGTAGGAACTATACTATAAATTTCGTGTATACATATTCTTCTTACTATTTTCTAATATGCAAGACCTAAAACAAGTATCAGAATTATATTTAAAGACCCAAGGACTCGAAGGAAATGTTTAACTTCTTCAATCGATGTAAAGCCAATATTTCAATTATACAGCATTTCGTTTAAAATATTTATAACAATATTATTAAATTCTTGATTATACCACATAAAAGCATAAAGTTCTTCAAGTTCAAGATAGGGACACATAATATCAGCTCTCGAAATATTTGGGCTCTGGCCCTACCCGGAAACTTAGAACATTTAGATCAAGTACTTTGAACACTGATTAAAGTAAGGCTAACAACCATAGCCATTAGCCAGGTTATTTGGTAATGAAAAGAAGCGTGGATCGTGATAAGCAAACATTTGCCTCATACTACAAGAATGCTACAAATATGAAATATTTGCTCAATCGGGCAGATTTATCAGTTTGAAGATCATTTTGATTGCGATCCAGATGCAGCTTTCCGGAATTTCAAGAACTGGCTTCATCTTTGACGATCTTTCTTATTAGCACATGGCAAAGCTGACGCAGGAATGTGCCAAAAAGAGGTAGTCCATAGCCGTAGAGTGTTAAATGCTAAACTTGATCGCATATAGCCATATAGCCAAAGCCAAGATCATAAATTGAATTAGCATAGATTTGGAGCGCAGCAGAACGCAGCCTGATAGCGTTTACAAGCCAAGAAAATGCGTGGAATAAGAGTGAGAAGAGCTTGAAAACCAGAAATACACGCGACAAAAATGCACACACTCAAGAAATCAGGTGAACCGAACCGGTGAATTAATAAAAAGCGTTGACGAAACCTGCTCTGAGGCATAGCTGAAATTCCAGCCAAGATCGCAATGGTGTGTGTGAGGGGGTGGGGGGAATCACAGGCACGCCTGCGCCATGATAAAAAAACCCCCAAGCAAGTTAAAAGCGAATAGAGTTAAAAAAAAAAAAAAAACAAGCTAAAAGCAGAAAAAATATATAAAAAATCGCATGCATGTCGCATTTGAAAAATATACGCGCTGCAAATGGCCTTATGCAATGGGTGTGAATGTGTGCAGCCAGGGGGGGAAGTGAAGGCACATGGGCAGTGTTGGGCAGTGTTGGGCAGCGGCGTGTGCATGAACGTGCCAACACAACACTAGCAGCTAGCGGCGGCATAAGGAGCCGTCACAAAAATAAATCAAAACAATTACATATTATGCAAGTTGTTGCTGCCGTTTGCTATGGCCATTAAAAGCAGTTAACTGTTAACAGGCCAACACATTTTGCTTTGCTTAAAAATGTTTTGTTTATTACACATTTCGTTTATTTAGCGTGCGGCTTTTAAGGTTGATTGCTCGCTAAACTTTGAGCCGCATTGCGTGTGCCCGCCCATATTATGGCCAACAACAACAACAACAACAACAACAACAGCAGCAGAAAGCACATAATTAATATATATAAACTTTAATTTATGTTTTTGTTGCTATTGAAAATTGCATTTTCATGGCGTTTTACCCAATTTATTGCATTTAGTTGCATGTAATTAAGTTTTTTTGTTTGTGCGCACAAATATTACTAATTGCATATAATTTATTTATACGGCATTTAGCCGATTTTTTAAGTCTCCTTTTTCTAGAGCATCAATTAAAAATAATTTAAGATATATATTTGTTTATATTCAATTAAGGCTTATAATTTGCTTGCCCAGGACTTTAAACTGTGCCAAGGCCGAGCGACATCGCCGCCACACAGTTTGACATGCACAGGCATTACATAAACTTTTTCACTTCCATGCAGTTTTGCATGCAAATTCTGCGTTTGACAGCTCCTCAACTTACCGCTTTAATAAACAATCCGTTAATATGTATATGTGTGTGTGTGTGTGTGTGTGCGTCTGTGTGTGTTACTGTTGGTGTGTTTGTTTTGTATTGGTCGCTGGTTTTTTTGTTGGCAAAAGTATTAATGCCCTTGTTATTGCCGTTGTTTCTATGCACTTATTTCTACTGCTCTTTAAATTGTATTCAATTTTATTTGATTTTGTTTCTGTTTTCTTTACGTATTTCGCATGCACACACATACACACATGCCAATATACACGTACGTACAAGCGAACTGATGTTTGGAGTCGAAATCAATCAACAACAAAGATAAGTGGGAAGTGCGCGAGAGACAAAAAACGGAGAGACAGTCGGTGACGGCGAATTACGAAGATAAAGTGTGAGGCGCATGCGCACGTAAAATAATTTTTAGCTGTTGTTTGTATTGTTGTTGCCTTTTTGCTTCCACTTCTTCGAGTTTTTCTCGCGTGGCGCTATCGAAATTCTCGCGCTTCAACGTTTTAACCGTTTTCGCGGGCGAATTGTTACTGATTGTGACCAGGCCAGCGGCGCTACTTCAAGAGGGCCAGTCACTAAAAGCCACAGGTGAGCTCAAAGCTCGCTAGAGATGGAAATGTGAGCGCTGCGTGAGTGTATATCGTATAGTGTTTAACTGTGATGGGAAAAAAGTAAAGCACTTGCTACTAAAACATAGTAAGAGACAAAGAGAGTTCTTAAGAGAAGCTTTAGGTTTGCTAATAAAAACATTGATAAATAAGAAACATAAATTTGAAACTTAATATTATTTGCATGAGCTACTCACAAATCACAGTAACGCTCACCTCTAGCTGAAAACTTGAAATGAGAGCCCAGCCGAGGAGCGAAAGTTATTGTGAGAGGGAGTGGGAGAGCGAGAACTGTAAACAGCTGTTTCTACTGAACAGATCTACACATACACATGCAGCATAATTTTAGGCGCGCCACATAAGGGAACATATGTACATATGTACATACGTATTGTATTTAAGATTTCGCTCAGTTAAATTGATAACTCGTGCATTGGCTTTCGCTCTCAAGCGTTAATGCCATTGTCTGCGCACAATTGAGACTCGCTTATCAGCAGTAGCCACCGTTGTTTCCAACCGACTGCATCTACTGCATGGCGTATCAATTTGTTTGAAGGATTTACCAAGGATGAATGCATGTTGGGGAGCTGGCTTGATGCATATGCGGACAACTTTTTTTGACCAATCCGATGCGATTCCAGAAAACAAAGCCCATTCAATTACACGTGGATGTAAACGAATAACAGGCGACAAATGTGTATTATTCGATTTCTGAAAATGCTCCTGGTAACATCTTGTTATATTTCTATTTTCTTAACTAACGAGAAAATATTAAAAGATAAAAAACGAATAAGCCAGTTGTATTGGAAAAATATAAGTTTTTAATTTTGATATCTGTAATATATTTTCTTAATATACTTTTGGGTGTTTTCAAAAATGATGCACTCAAAGAAAGTGCAACGAGGATCAATTATTTTGCAGGTTTTTTATACATTTTTAATATTTAGTTTCCGATTTGAATTATATAACAAAGTCATGTTAAAGAAAAGATTGTTAATTTTATAAAAATTGATAAATGTAACTTTAATATTATTTATCGCTTGGAAATTATTATAAATTTATTATCTTATGGAAATATTTGACAATGCAACATGCACCTCACTGCTTGATCGAAAATGCGTATTGCATTTTTTTGCTGCTTGCAACTAACTGCAATATTTTTTGAACTTAAACGCAGGGCGACTTCTTGGTGGTCAGTGACACATATGCACCTTTTGTTGGCAACTGTACTTTTGTCTGTTGACAGTTGACAGGTGGCATTTTGAGTGGTTGCTGACGTGTGCCATGGCCATGATTGATCGGGGTAGCTCGGCAGCTCATGGAATTTATTTAATTTCCGCATGGCCACTGAAGCAGCAGCCTGTGCAGCCCGCATACACCTACAACTAAAATGCCCCAACAACAACAGCAACAACAGGAGAAGCCATCCCAAAGGCTGCAATTCGAAATTTAGTCATGCAGCATAGATAATGATCAAATAATACTCAAAAGTACTCGAAAGCTGACTGTACCCGGGCACAACGATACGCGGACTCCTTGGGCTACATCTCAGCGAGCGGCGCTCTTATCGTTTTAATTAGTTTTCGTAAAAGTTGGAGAACAAACAAAATAACCAAGGGCCAGGACGGGTGACGGGAGACGGGAAATGGCAGGGGCAGCTGGGCAGCATATTTGCTTATGGCATAATGAAATTTAAGCATGAATTTGTTGTGCCGCACACATGTGAGCGTGTGTGAGTGTTCGTGTGTGTGTGTGTGTGTGCAAATTAACTTATGAAATTGCTTACAATTAACAAACCTGCAAAGTTCCATTCAGAGTTTGCGCACAAATTGCATTTGCAATTGCATTTAAAGTTTACACTTAACATTTAATTAAGGTCGGCGAGAGATACCTTTTTGGGCATGCAACTGGGCACACCTGCCGCCCTGCTGGGACAGCAGAAAAAAAGCCTTTTCTCAGCCATTTTATTTGCATGCATATTTATAAGAAATAGCGCGAAATTAAATGCAGCTGCCCGCTCCCGAAGGGTGGCAGGCGAAAGAGCGCGAGTTGCTAGAGATTAAGCAAAATACCTGAGCATATTCTTTTCAAATTTATATATGCAGCAAAGAAATGGGGCTGAGTTAAAGGCGGTCCAAGGCAGATAAAAGTTGCGCAACAGCTTAAGAAAATAAAATCCGCTGCCAGGCGCATTTCAAATGAACCAAATCAGCTTAAGCTGATTAAATTATATAAAATTCAGTTAGTTCTCTTACTCGATCCGTATATATAGCCGAAAATAGACATCGCTAATGAGCATTGCTCTAATCAAGCATTCAAGCATTCGACCAATGGCTGTTAGTCATAAGAGATCGAAATTTGGTTATTTCCCAGTGTTGTTGTTGGGTGTGTTGGAAAAGGGAACGAGAATGGAACCGAAATGAACTTTAATTTCAAAAACCGTGCAAAAATCGTTCAATCATTTAAGTAAAATGCCAGGCGCTCAGCGACGGCAGCCAGCGGATCTGACGCATTCAATTCAATGGGCAGCAACAAAAACGTATAAAAACATAAGAGAGCTACGTCAACCCTCACAGACATACGCACACATGCAAAGCACTCACGCGCGCACACATGCAAGTGTTGGCACACATATTGTATTGCTTCGTTGGCTGCGGTTCTTTGCGTCGCTTTGTCTCGCTTTGACTTGCTGTTGGTGTGCGGCAGCTGCTCTCTTTCTGTCTCTCTTCGATACATGTTGTGCATTTTACAATTTTGTATTTTGAAACGATCATGCGGGCGTATAGTATTAACAACAACAACAATGGTGCAAACGGAGAGACGCTGCTGAAACGTTTGCTTGCTTTAAGTTGCTGCGCACCTGTTGGTCACATGGATCACTTTATCGATTTTACGAATGAAGAAGCAAAATGCGATCGATTGTGATCTCAAATCGGAATGTTTTGTACTCGAAACTCGATCGTGCACAGTTTCAAAAGAGCAATTCACAAGCAAAACAATAATGTAAGCGAGCGAGCAGCAATGGCATCAAATGAATCGATGCGATCGCGCTTTAAACCAGCACAGCGCACAGCACCAACTGAGAGTCTACTGAAAAAGTATTTTGAATGGTTGTGCATTTTAAAAAAGGGAAAAATAACAAAAAATGTACTTGGAGATGCCGGGGATTGAACCCGGGGCCTCTCACATGCAAAGCGAGCGCTCTACCACTGAGCTACATCCCCATGTTGAAATGATTCAGCCAAATGTCAACAAGAGCGCCGCGTTAACACACCAAGCAATTCACTGCAAGGCAATAGTTTGCACATTTGTAATTGTAATTTGGTAATTGTAAATATGTTATATTAAATTGCCCACAATTTGGTGGCATAAAAGTTGAAATGCATTAAGGCAAATGATAAGGTTTATGTGGTATAATCAGAGAACTGGGGAATATTTACCAATTTATTTAGCAGTATTATAACAAAGTTTGTTTGCATATGTGTTTTCATTGAATATATATATATATTTTTCATTTAAATTTTGAAACCCTGCTACCAGTTTTATTTATTGCGCATGTTCACTAATGTTCACTAACCACATTTGCTGAAATTAGAGTTTGTGCTGGCGAGTATTCAATGGGGATGTAGCTCAGTGGTAGAGCGCTCGCTTTGCATGTGAGAGGCCCCGGGTTCAATCCCCGGCATCTCCAATTACTTTTTGCAAGTTTTTCTTAGTGGTATACTTTTGTTTTTGTATTTATTCTACTTAGGCAGTCAGTCTGTCAAGGCTTTTATGTGCTGGCTAAAGTTCAAGTTTGCTGCTGAGGCAACTTCTCTATATGACCTCAGTGTTGCTGGCTTTGGCCTGGCTGACTTGATTTATGCGCAACGAGGCGGCAATAATGAATTATTTATGCCGATTTACGGCTGCCAGGCAGGTCTGCATGTCAATTGGCAAAAACACTGGCGTTGCCAGACGGGCGAACCAACTGTATGGGCGGAGTGAGGGGCGGAACGCACAGCTGAGCGAACTGACTTCGGGCGGCGACTTTGACTTCTGGCTGCCATTTTAGCCACAATGCAGTCAAGTGGTTAAAATGTGTGCGCTCTTGTTCTTGTTGTTGCACAGGATATACACATACATATAGTGAAACGAGTGGGGCGGTTAGTGTGGGCGTGGTTGATCCTTTTTGCTTGTGACTTTTGAAAGGCAAGGAAATTGCCTGTTCTCACTTTAGCAACATTTGCTTAGTTGAAATTAAAATTAAATTTTGCATGAGCCAGCCCCTACAGCTGCCCTCCACCACCAAGGCATGTTGCACCTAGTCACACACACACACACACACACACACACACACACACATATGTGGCATACTCAAACATTGGCTTGGCTAAGACAGGCAATTGATTTTGTTGTGGCTCTCCCTTTTGGCCGAGCTAAATACATAGCAATCAAGGCTGGCATTCTGTCTTGAGCTCTTTAATTGGCAAACATCAGCAGTAGCCGCATCGGATTTCATTTGATTTCACATATTGTCCATCAATTAGTCGTAGCACACAAAAATCTGGATATGCCACAGCAGCTGACACACATCACATAAATATAATTATGCCAAAATTTCAAATAAATATGCATGCAAATTTTCGAGCATATTGAAATTAATTACCACAACGACGTCTGTTTGTGTCACTAAATATCTGTCTCCCTCTCTCTCTTCCTCTGTGTGTGTGTTTAAGCTGAGAGTGTAATAAATATTATATAACAATTGGCTGACACACACACACATACACACACACTTACTTTCTATCTGTCTGCCTCGTAGCGCCCGAAGGCATAATTTAAATAAAAGAAAATACAAATCGAAATTGTCACATCGAATTTATGTAATTGCGTAGACACCACAAGGTTCCATAAGTAGACACACACACACATCCACACAGACACAGACACACACAAACACACACACACACACACA